TCTCTATTATAAGAGAGAGAGAGAGAGAGAGAGAGGGAGAGAGAGAAAGAGAAAAAGAAATGCAAACTGTAACAAATATAAGCAAAGAAATCATCTTATAACACATCTCTCACCTTCCATAACAATCATCGGAAGAAATAAAAATGACAATCACCAGTAAAAATGTGATTCTGAGCAATAAATCGATTCCTGAAGTTTATTCATCTCACTCATATTCCCATCGATCGTGGCTATTTTTTTGTCCCGCGATTCTTGACAACGTTCCCTTCCGGTTTGCGCGTTGAAGAGGTTAAATTACCACCAATGTTGCAAGTTACCCCACAAAGTTTAACGATGTTTCCTAAGGCTGAAGTTAACTTAAGAGAAGTGCCATATCCTGATATTTCATATCGTCGAAAAAGTTTTTCCCACCATCTAAGCTTCTCCAAATTCCTTTTCCTTCACTTCTTCGTCTTCCTACCTTGTGACAATTTTTCTGATGTTTTTGCCGACAAATGTGTTCTGTCAAAGTCAAGATTTCAATTAATTTAATGCGAAACTGATAAACATTTCTATACAAATAACAGGATGCAGGAGTGAAAAAAAAAAAAAAAACTAGTTAGAAATGAAGGAGAGGAAGAGGAAGAGGAGGAAAAGGAGAAGGAGGAGGAGGAACAGGGTGAATTAAGGATTGTGAGCTGAAGGTAGATGAACTATTGGATATATAATCTGTTGAATTATCTCCAACCCTTCTCCTCATTTTTGCCTGATTTTCATGACGGAATGGTTCTCCCTTTTTAGCATCATCACAGACTGTGGAAATGGGTTTCTCATCCTGCTCTTAGTCGCATGTCACATGTCACATCAGCTGATGGTAAGCCTCTTCCTGCCTTGTGCAACTGCGGCAGCACTGATCGAAGCTAGCATTATTGCATTTTCTATTTTACTTTATCCTCATAGTCCGCGTGTCTTTCCTAATTATTGACTACGTAAGCTACTTAAGTGGTTACGTGTTATTGTGCCTTCATGGAAACAGAATTATTCCTCCTTATTAACGCTGCCGATAAATGACTGGAATAGTTGTTCTGTATGGATATGGTGGTGGAATGCTTTCTTTAGCTTTGAAGTGATGCGGAGCATATAGCTCTAGTGCTCAGTGTGCCACGGATGAAAAGCCTTTGAGCAGACAAAAAATGGAGCTTTCAATTTTGATTTTAAGACACACTATCAAACAGGTCTAGTGACACGTCCCCTAGATTTTCTATTTGTCTTTTGTTATACAACTTTTCAGTAACTGGGGAAGAGAGACTGAAGTAGTAAGATTAGATCGTATTTTCGACATTTCTAGTCTGCTCTGCTTTGAAAATTTCTTATTCCCAGTTTTTGACATATTTTCTTTCGTTATCTCGAACTAAACCTTCTATTTCTATTCATTAAAACAATTCTTGTCCTTTCTCTTCCTCTTTTTTGTACTTGCAATGAAATCCAATTATTCCGAACTGCAAAGATACAAAACAGAGCTATCGCTATCCTCTGCTAGATGATATCTCAAAAAATTCTCATATTGGGGGATAACTCCGTTTCCTTCCCTCCCTCTCAGTCACCCGTTGGGATGAAGTTATTGCGTGTTGTGCATCACTTGCAAATTTTCACTGTTAAAGAGAACTAGTTGGAATGCTTGAACTTACGGTTTTTTTCCTATGTATGCGCGTGTATCCAGTCGTGTATCCAGTGTAGGAATATATTATTTAGAATCAATTGGAATATATTATTTAAAATTTAATAGTTGAGCAGTAACTATGGGTACTGTCACGGGATCCTTCCTGATAAGTTGATGCCAGCTAGAGTGAAATTGTTTTACGCTTACTTAGCATGATAAGATGGGGTCATGAAAAGTCATACTTGAGATGGATGATCAATTATTTGTCATGAAGTTCCAGAAATTAACAATGAAGGGGAATCGTGATGGGCGTAGTTCATTTTGTAAATCGTAACTATCATACATGAAGAATTCAGTGAATTAGTCCCTTCCTTACCTTCCCAATTTCAAATGAATATTATTAATGTTAAAGTTTCAATAATTTACTAGATGGAATTTCTGAACTCAGTTCATGAGAGTCGATAGTTACCGACGAGCAGATTTCTTCTTGGTTGGATGACTGGTTTATTTTTGGGATGTTATAGGCGTGGCGGCATTAGTTTCATACGGAGGGAGTAATATGGCTTGTGGTACCATTCAACATTTTGAGGAACATCTGTGAGTTTCGTTTTGCAACATCTGTCAGCATTTCCTTCTGCATATCCAGTCTTTGGCGGTTTTAACAACAAGTTAGTTCGAGTCGATTATTAATCTTTCTTCACCACTAGACAAGGTAAAAATATTTCACTGAATTGCAGATAATGAGTTTGGATGTTATCAAGCGAGCTGATCCAACTGATGACTATGAGTTATTGCAACGAGTGGGTTCGGGTACATATGGCGAGGTTTACAAAGCTAAACATATCAGGTTACATATAACAATTTATGTATAATGAATTTCAGTTTCCTTCACTTCTATAAGCTACAAGTTCAGAAATAAGTAATTGGGATTCGTTCGATATAGTCAAGTCAGGTCGAGATATTATGATATCTGTAACTCGGTATTATTATTTTGATTAACTCCCAAAATTTTTTGCAGGACTGGCGAATTATCTGCAGTGAAAGTCGTAAAACTCGAAGCTGGCGATAATTTTGCTGTTATTCAGCAAGAAATTTTGATGATACGTGGTTGCGTGCATCCAAATATAATTGCATATCATGGAAGTTATCTGCGTCGTGATCGATTATGGATTGTTATGGAGTATTGTAGTGGTGGCTCGCTTCAAGACATTTATCACAGTATGTTTTCATTTTATCTTGCTTTAGAATTTTTGAAATAGGTAATGTTTTTGGTGGAATATCGTATATTTTACGGATTATGCAATAAATATCGTCCGTTTTGACTGAAACAAAATGCACAACTTAGCTTTGCAAAATAAAGCAGTAATTCTTCACTTGAACTTCGTTTTCAAATGCTTCAGGCGATATAATTGGACATCTTCGTAATTAATAAATTAGGGTTTATTCTCGTCTTTTCAGGCTCTCTCAGAGTCACGGTATATGAGATGCAGGGGGACAGATTTCTGCTGTCATATCTCACAAGCGGGGGATCATGTGCAAAAAAAAAAAAAAATGAATCTGAAAAATAGGGAGTCCTTTTCCATATTTTGAATTGATATTTAATATCAATTCGATTCGACTTTATATAGAGATTTTGCAAAAATTTGTTTTAGTGACTGGTCCTCTGTCGGAGCTGCAAATAGCGTTTGTTTGTCGTGAAACACTGAAAGGTCTTCACTATCTGCATTCCAAGGGTATGGTACATCGGGACATAAAAGGAGCGAACATATTGCTTACCCATTCTGGTGACGTGAAACTAGGTAAGTAGCATTTTTTTGGTTTATGAGGACATTTGATTTTGGAAATTGGAACTTCTTGAACTTTAGTTTATGTTTCTGTTCAGCTGATTTTGGTATTGCTGCACAAATTACCGCTACTATTGGGAAGCGGAAGTCGTTCATTGGTACTCCTTATTGGTAAGCAGTTCTTGTTCATAATTAGCTTATTTATTTCTTTTGCCCTAGTTTCTGAGAAATTGTTATGTCTCTTCCTTATCAGGATGGCACCAGAAGTAGCATGTGTGGAACGTCGAGGTGGTTATGGTGTGGAATGCGATGTTTGGGCTGTTGGAATTACAGCAATTGAACTAGCTGAATTACAACCGCCACTATTTGATTTGCATCCTATGCAAGTTCTCTACCTTATGACAAAATCGTCTTACAAATCCCCAACACTTAAGGATAAATATAAGTGGTAAGCATTTTGTTTAAGTTCTAACTTGCCTTCATCTTGAATTTACTGAAAGTTCCAACTAAAAATGTAGTTCACAAATTATTAAGGAATAAATTGATTGTGAAGTCTCTCAGTCAACATTAAACAGTTGTTTAATGTTGTTTGTCTCACAAAATTTGCATGATGTTATGAATCGTCACAATTTTGATCTAGCATCTTAAAAGGAATTGTGGCACTTGTTGTCAGATTATTGCATTAGCTCGAACGCTGATTGCGATCTTGCTAATTTGATTATGAACGATTTGAATTAATACTCTGAAGCACCTGTATCACTATTCTATTGTAACTAATGCCTTTCAGGTCGCCATTCTTTCATGATTTCATCAAACAGTGTTTAACGAAAAATCCAAAAAAGAGACCAGCTCCAGAAAAGCTCTTAGCTGTATGGTTTCAAAAATTAATGAGCAAAGCGATTTTTTATTGTTTTGGTATGCTACAGAACAAATTCTAGTTCTTACAGGATATCATAATTATCTTTAAACCCGAATTTATAATTCATTCCTCATCTCAGAACCACCATTTCGTCCTTGGAGCGCTTTCCTCTCGAATGACACGCGATTTGCTGGATAAAGTTAACAATCCTGGAGGTGTGTCTTCCGCTTCCGTATTTGCTCGACAGTTTCCTGCAATGTATACGGATGATGATGACGAGGTTTATTTTAAACAGTGATTTCACGTTATTTTTATTCATTTTATGGCAATCAGTGAACTAATTCCCGTCTTCGAATTGCTATTACTCTTTCTTTTGGCCTATTCAGGGCGAGATACTGACAATATCGCGAATTAAGTCGCGCAGTCGTGCTTGTCCTCGTGCTGCGCAAGATGCAATACGTGTATGTGATGATGCAAATGCACTTATGGCTCGAATTTGGGAAGAGCCATCAACTTCCGAAGTCTCCGTTGCGAATTTAGGTCGTCGTTATCACGAGGCTCGTTTTTCATTGTAGATGGGAATTAAAGAAATATGCATTTATAACAGCACAATATTCTGTAAAAGATTTATCAGTTAATATAAATTTTTCTTCTGTAGGATCGCACACTTCCTGCCAAGGAACATCCACCACTACCAGATGTTGTACAAGCCTTGTCGTTGCTAAACGATAATGATGGTGTTATACATGACGTAGGTGATGAAACCCTTTGTTCGTCAGAACAAATTAATGGTGATGTTTTTCAAGTTACTTAATTCAACTGTTAGTATATTCTTAAATACGTTCTTTATCTGTCTCTAGCTTATGGCATAGTCATTAGCAGGGAAATTCCGAAGTATAAAAATGTAGAGGTTTACCTGGAATTATGTTGGATTGTTCTTCCTGCTAATGATATAAGAAACTTTGAGTCCATTCATAATATCACTTCAGGTTCATCTGGTTCGGATTTTTTCATGCCTCAACGTCCACCACGCACTAAACAGCCAATAAAGCGATGTTCATCTCTCGAATCACCACATTTGGATCCATATTTAAACGAGCAAATTAGGCATCGGGTTAATGGGTGCGCGAGTTATGCTCTTCAGCGACCTCAGACCTGTTTCGGATTGCCACCGACACCGAAGGTATTTTGCTGGAATATAAATCCAAATGTAATTATTGACTTATGTAGTGAAAAATTCTTTATTTGGAATTTTTAAGAACGTTTAGATTTTTTTTTGATGAATTCTATGCTCTTCAAAGTTCATAATTTGTGTAGGTCGCTATGGGTGCATGTTTTTCGCTCATCTTCCATGATTGTCCGTTACACATAAATAGTACCGCAACATGGGTTCATCCAAACACTTTACGACAGTTTTTATTGGTTGGTGCAGAAGAAGGGATTTTCACTTTGGACATGGATGAACTGCATGAGGCAGCAATGGTTTTGATACACAAACGACGCTGTTCATGGTTGTATATGCAGAAAAATATTCTGATGGCCGTACAAGGTCTTTTTATTCGATTTTTCATCATACTGCTTCAGAATGAAATTGAGGAAATGCATCATTATATTTTGATATAAGCCACATTATTCGTGGAAGCTAGAATCAAATAAAGGTTACTAAAGTATGCAAATCGGAATATGCTTGGCAAGAAATTCGTTTAAACGTGTTTCCTGAGTCTTTAAAATTTGTAAGATAAAGTTTTAGGAAGAACTCCCTATCTTTATCGTCACGACTTAGTTGCTTTGTCGCAGCGAAATCTTACACAGAGGATATCAAAACCTATGAATAAGATTCCTGAGAAGTACCTGCCGAAGAAATTTGCTATAACTACACGCTTACCCGAAACTAGGTATCTCTATGAACTGTAATTTTGAATTTAATTTTTCTTTTATTTTGGAACAACGCTCTTGTCCGTATGTGATTTTCAGTACTATCTGATAACTTCAAAAAGTTTGAAAATTCGAATTTCAGAGGATTTAGAAACATTTGCAAGTTTCGTACATTTTTCTAAATAAGCAATGATTAATTTATAGAGACGTTATACATTGCAATGTCGCTCGAAGTGGTGTGAATGGCAATGTATATCTCTGTTGCGCAACACCGTCTGCTGTAATATTATTCCAATGGTACGAACCACTGGCTAAATTTCTAATACTGAAAACAGTCGAAATGCGCATCCCTCACTTTCCACTTCGACCTTTTCAGTTGATATATTCTGCCGGAACAGATGCTGATTTTCCAAAAGTATGGTTTCGAAGTACTTTGTGAAGCATTTTTCAATACTTCTGTTTAGAAAAAATGAAATGAGGTTGTAAACCAAGAAATCATTTTATTCGCAACAAGTAACTGTATGCGTTTCATCTGCAGGTTTGCTTGGCGGTGTACAAAGGGATAGGACAGAAGTTTCATCTCCATTATGTAAATTTTAATGATGAAAGTGTACACTGTGACTTGGATGGGCAAGATCGAACAGAAACGATTTGTCTTAGCGTTGTTGCACTAAAACAAGTTGACAGAGTGATTTTTTTTTCTTTTTTTTGTTGAAGATTTGTGCAGCTTTTCAAAATTGATTGAGGCTGCTCAGCAGCAAGGTTAATCGAAGTAATTCGTCAGTAATTTACCATGTGGTAGAAATGTTTGCTGCTCTGAGAATAATACTTTCTTGAAAGTGTTATTTTATCACTTTGCATTTGGAGGTCGTTCTTTTCCTGAAAGATATGTTTAGGATGCATTGTTATTATGCTATGAGAATCGGTGCGTTGTGATCAATCAGAAAGGAGTTGTTAAGTCATCTCGTCTTTCGCCAGCAGAATTCAAATTTGGTTTTCAAATTGAAAATCTCGTTTCGCTTTCGGATTCAATTCTCGCTTTTTATCCACATGGCGTGCAGGTATTGAAATATGATTAAAATGTTCGTCAGTGGTAGTGAACACTAGAATTGGATTAGTCATAAAACCTCAAAATTTCTCAAAATGAGAAAAAAAAATGTGTGGCACGACAGTAATGATGGAAACTGGCGAAATTTTTACATTATTTAATTTCAGGGTCGTGCATTTGTTGATGGCTCAATTACGCAAGACATCAGTGATCCAAATAATATATATCAAGTTGTAGGAAGCGATAAGTAAGTTTTTTGGGATTCGTATAGGTTTGAAAGGGTGCGGATATTAGTATCCATGCGGTAATAATATAGCATGCTGGTGACCGGGGCGTAAACAAATTTTACTGGTGATTGAAAACCCACAGAATATTTTAATTTTCAAAATTGATGAAAACTGTTACTGTTTCATTCTAGGCATTATGATTGAGCTCTTCAAACTACTGGAATAAAATATTTGTATTTCTAGATTGGTAGTTTTAAAACGGCGAGAAACATCTGCAGTCGGAGATTTGTGCGATTTATGCATACTGACTGGACATGAGAGTACTCTGGCTGGTTAATAGATCCATGCTGTGAAATAGTTTGATCGTTCCAGCTAAGATGCGGCAGTTCTAGTATTTTACTTTGATTTTTTCATTAGTAGTTCCTTATTTCAATAGCTGTTTAGTCCGTGCTGAATTTTCCTTGGTCCGAAAAAATTATGGCATCAAAATTATTTGAGGCTTTAATTCTGAGGTGTAATAACTAGCATATATGTAATTGGTCTACGTACGGTGAGAATTTAGGATATAGTAGTATCCAGTAGCGTAAAAGAAACTTGGGCGAGTTTTTTCGGATTTCTAAAAGAACTTTAAATGAAATAAAGTAAAATTACAAAATTCAGCATTTTTTTTATTTTCATTTTCCACTTTCTTTTTCATTTTTTTCTTCCCTAAATTTTCATTTTCTCTCATTTCTATTACAGTCGTCTTCGTAATAGCAAGTGCTGAAGTCTAAGTCTGTGCCATTTGTTTTGGTTAACAGAAAAATCAGTTAAGTTTGAATTAAGTTGTGGAATATAACGAAACAGTAGAACCTTTGGCTGGCAGCACTAAAGCAATGAAACTTATCGGTTTAATAATGAAATTGTTGGGACCCGTTGAAATTCTTCCCTGTTGCGAAATAATTTGTTACTTGGGATTCTTTCTGAATATCAGCTCTTATTACTCTGCTTCATTCTTCTTTCCTTATTTTGAAAACTTGCAATTTTTCTGTATCTTGCCGCACAGTTTGGATGTATTCATGTATTGTTCAATTTATGCAGCTCTTTCAACTGCGTGATTTTTATTTAAATTTTCTATGCAATTGAAGTTTCATATATAAAGATCAACTTTCGAAGCTAAAAACTCTCTGGGGATAAGGACTGAGTTGGCACCTATCCAGGTCCTCCTATAGTGGCTATTCGAATGGTTTAATGACACCTCTTCTCGATTAGACCCACTGTCAAGTGTTTGTTTGCGACCAGTGTGATGGCTAACTTCTAGCTCTTTTTTAACTTCTTTTTTAACAGTTGAAAGTTCTCATTTTATAAACGACCGCTCGTCAGTGTTTGTTGTTCTCTTTAAAAATAAATTATTTCTAATATTAGCATAGCCTCTCGTCGAGTCTAACTAGACTGATCATCATAGTTTCAGAATAGAGTTTCGAATAACGCTGAAACCAAAAAATATATTTGGGGGGATTCAGATAGAGAAGAAAAAATTTAGAAGCCGGCTTAATTCTACGATTTTCAGCGAATATACGGGATAAACAGGCCATTTTTTGATCTACTGGTTGGATTATATCAATATTTATTCAGAATTCGTTTCCTCTATAGGATACCCTTTATCTCCAAAATTATGGCTTCTTGCTGGATGAAGTTGAGGGTTTTTTACCAACCCGAAACATTATTCAACAGCTGTTAATGAGCTGAGGTCAATCAGTTGAATGTGGAATAAACATACTCTTCTTCGCCCTGCGTTTTCTGGGATAACATACTCTTCGCCGTGCGTTTCAGGTTTGCAGGTTCCCTGAATATCGCTGGAAAATCTATCATTTAATGAAATACAAGGCATGAATATGATAGGAACAAATGAAATAGATACGGTGGAAACAGTATTCACAGTACAAATTTCAAATATTTCAGAAATTGAAGTCATAAGTTAGAATAAGTAGTGTAACTACTGATCAAAACTAAGCCAAGAGACAGTGTAAGGTTTTTAGTCATCAAACCTAAAGAGAAGTCTAATTATCCGCGGAAAAAAAATAAATCGAAATCAAATAAATTTAATAAATTTCAAGTAAGAGGAATATAAAACAAATGAGGAGAACCAATTCAAAAATTTTATATTCAAAACAAAAAGAGCTAAAACGTTGTAGACTTCAACTTCCGAACTGCAATGCAAAATTTGATATCTTTCAAGTCTGATGATGGCGAATGTAAATAGTGCCAAAAACAGCAGTAAATGTTATTAACAAGCCAAACGTAGACCAAGCAGACATCGGATGATCATAGGCCACCGCTGAAAGTAATATGGAAAGTATCTGCCGCAGCGTCATCATCACAGCAAATATCATAGGCCCAAATCGTTCAATGGTTATATAAATTACAATCTGAAAGAAAGTTCATGAAACCAACTCCTCAAAAAACACAGAAATTCAAGTCTTCATTTTAATGATTTAAATAAGAGTGCATAATTACATGCCCCAATTATGAAGGCTGGACAGTAAACTTGATAAAATGAACAAACTTATTAAGGAGGTCATAAATAGAACTACTGAAGTGATTACATAAAACCTCAAGGAAAAACTGCGTACTTTAGAGACAAATTTGGAAATCAGCAATTTTTAAGGTTACGTTTTAGCCTAAATGGCTCCCGATAAAGTAATGAGAAACTAAGACACAGAACAAAAAAAGAAAAGAATTTTAGATGAAAACTGATAAATTACACTACCCTTTCATTCTCCGAGGTACTAACCAATGTACAATAAAAATATTTCAAGCGCGAGATGTGAGCAGTGAGACAAGAAATAAATTTCCCTCACTTCGTTCTTTCAAAAAGAAATTAAACCTGTCCTAAAGCGCCTGATAAAGACAAGAAAAATATATCTCGGCCAAATCCTTCATGAGTTGCTAGAAAACGGAATGGTGATAGAAACGTTCCTTCTTCGATAAGTGTTACAAAGCATAAAATCATGCTGAACATATTTACACCAAACATCATCTGAAGAACGATAAATGAGTGAGCGAAAGTCCAAATTTAAGTTTAATATTCGCAGTGAGATGATTACGTTCGCTATAGCCATTTTATCCTTTAAAAGATAAGCTTTTATTACACAGCTTCGATTATTTATTTCCAATATTTCCTATTAGTGGAGCTTTTTATTGAACTTTATTCAGTAAAACAAATCAGGAAAGCATACTCCGAAACAGTCAAAATTCCCGACGTGATAATTGCTAAAAAAAAAAGGGAATTCATATCATATGTCAATTCCCAACATTCAAGAAATGAATGGTAACTTGTTCCGAGTTGACGATTCCATTACTTTTCATTCAAAAAGATTTCACTGAAAAACCTGGTATCTGGAAACTCGCGGCCGAACATCGAAGAGTTTCTTTTGCCAATTCAATGTGAAAGCATCAAATAAAAGATAACCAGACATCAAGCCAATCCCAGAAACAGTAGTCACCCAATCGGAAGACGAAACTGCTACAACTTTATGAAATTACCAGCGACGCGCATATATATTTTGATAAAAAATCAAGAAAATTCGAGTACTAAGTAAAAATTAATATTTAAGAAAACTGATCCCAGTTCTTATGAGGTTTTTTTTGTATTTGTATTTGTAATGGAGAGACAAGGAACTTCATGGAAACTGGCAAGATTCATATTACTGATTGGATCTTTTCAGCTCATTCACTTTCTACTTCAATTTTTTATCTCGCCACTTCACACAACTTTGTTTTTCACCAGAAAATAAAATAAAGAAAGTCTATCCATTTTCAGAAGTTTTTTGTTTATTCTATCCACTTTTGAAACCATCCGGATTTTCGCAATCACTAGCTTTTTTCCTTTTTATCACTGCTATCAAAAAGTCTTTAAAATTTTTGTATCTTCAAAAACGCTTTCTTTAGAAACGTTACTGTTAGATCCAAATTCCTTAGAGCTGTTTGACAAAAGAAACAATGAAGCTCCAAACGCAAGCATAACAGTACAAGCGCACTCGCTAAATCCATAACGTTCACCTCTGATAATGAAGCCCATCAACATCGTTGATAGCACTTTTGATGCTTTGCAGACTGTCTTAAAATAAAGATACAAAATTTAATTTCACAAACTTTGATTGTCAAAAGTTGGCATCGTACTGAGTTTTAGTAGTTACTTCGCACTGATTTGAGTTTACCTGAGTTGGGAATGAAACGAATTTCAATGCCTCGTACTGGCACCATGATGAAAGCGTATTGGAAAAGGATGTAAAAGAATGTTTATAAAACGGCGGAACGTGAGGAGGTTCTCTGTAATAAATTGGCGATTTTGAATTATAAAGTTACCTCACTATTGACTTCCACGCTCGCAATTTGTCAATTACAAGGTTTTTGCCTTCTCCATTTATTTGTATTATTATAATTTTTAAACTGTAAATTTGATAATATTTAACGAATCTCGTGAGATTTTTCATAGAGAGATAAATTATGAAGAAAAAAAAAAACCTTTTCCAATTTACGATCAAATAAGCTGTGCATAGAATAATGGCAAAAACGCGATTCATGAAAACAAGGAACTGAGTATTTTCAAACTTGTTTAGCTGATGATCCACCGTTGATAAGTAAGTCTGGAATAAAAACAGTCAGTCTTCCCAACATTAGTATCCGAAAGATACCTAAGTAAATGTCCAGAAACAATTAAACAAAACGAGAACGTCTTCATTTACCTAACTTCTTTCTTTTTTTTTTGAATAACTCCCATTCTTTAGTATGACGCTCCATATATATGCTTCTACAATTTATGTAGAAAATGTTTTTATGCTGGAAGCAATAAATTGATGCATCGAATAATCCATCTTTGCAAAAAAAATCCAAAAGAATTCAAAGTCTCAATCCGATCTGTCAGTGTTTATTCAACAGATCAGTACTGACTGATCTGTTGAATAAATATTAAACCAAAAAGTCAATAGCAGAATTTAAAAACCTGCGTCATAATCCGCTCTTGGATATAACCCATTAAAATAAGAGTGATCTGAAGACTTGAAAAACATAAAATAAGATAGAGAGAGTCACCGCGGAGATTTTTTTTCCGCGAAACGATTGAGGTCAATTTTATCGAGTCAGAAATCACCAAACTATACTCAGGTTTTCCAAGCGCAAAACTGCGTAGGAATGAATGAAACACTGTTGCAGGCCGGAACCCATCTTCTGGAAATAAAGCTTTTTATATTAAATGTAACAGGTTCATGATGTTCTATCGAATGATAATTTATATTCATCGCAAAGTGATATGATAGCCAGTGACATAAATTTATGAAATATTCCCATTAAAACACATCTTACCGGCAGCTCTTCGACGAACATAAAAAACCAAGAGAACTACAGGAATCGAGACAGTTCCATAGCTCAAAAGAATAGAGAAAAATCGCATAAGCCAAAAGTCGTTCAAGTAGAATGTAATCATAGCTAAAAAGAATTCCATACAATTGGTGAAAAAAATCTTTGAAACTTGGATGCACCACTGTCTAATTGAAATAGCAGTACCGATTTATTTCCATTATCACTTTTAGATTTGATTTTTATGGCTACAATTCTTAGTGATCATTTTCTTGCTCAGTATCATGGCAATCGTTTCAGGTTAGAAATAAGAAAACTATTATTTCTGGCAGTAATTAGTCACAGAGCACAGTTATTTAAACATGTCCTCATTCAGTGAAAAGGGTTGGTACTGTCAATGAGGGATATTTTTTGGCTGAATTTAACAGTTTCAGATTTTTCGAGTAATGTTTATGCGTACCCAAAAAAATGAGTGTGAAAACCTGGCATGAACATAAGACTGGATATGTACAATTCGTACGCATGCTCATACTCATCACAATTAGAAAACGCATACATATCAGCTTTCAATTTTGCTTAAGTATACACAAGCACGATTACTTCAGTACCCTGGTTCATTATGACCGATATCAAATGCCGTTATCGAGTGAGTACTCTGGTGAAATTAAAAAAAAACCCAATCGCTGCTTAGGCTTATTATTCCATCGAGCGCATTTCTTTAAAAAATATTTCATTTTTTTCCAAAAAACCAACCAAAACTTGAAAACACCATAAGGAATTTTTTTAAATTTCCTAACTAACAATTTCTATCGGGGATTTGAAATATATAGCAACTAAATTATTTATAATATATAGATATCTTTTTCTATTTATTCTGCAAAATTTACATCTGAACAGGGTAACTGATGCAGCTGGACCTTCCAATAGATATAGGAATGAAGATCTAAAGTAAGAAGCACCATACTATAACATCATATTCTTCGCTTCTCGAGCCTACCTTAATGAGAAGCAACAATTTTGCAACAAATTCTAACATTTTTTTCGAACATTTACAGCTCACTTACAGGCTGGATGTAAAACAAACGAAAACCCCAGCACTCTATAAAAATATCTCATCCTTAAATGCTCAATCGGATTGTCGTCCTCACTTAAAAGTTGTTCTACCATTCCAGTTCACTCTGGAAATGGCTACAAATAATGCAGTGACTCTTTCGTCGATTTTTCCCATTAAATCCACTGCATTTTGTTTAATCATTAAAAGTGAATTAAAACTCTCGCCAGAGATGATAGTCTTTTTGGAGTGCGAAATGACTGTTACAATATGCTCTATCTCCACGATTACTGCATCTAGAATTAGCTGTCTCTGATATAAAAAAAAAATCGAACGACCTTAATTAGAGAAGAAATAACAAAACATGAAGTGCAAAGTAATTATGACAATTCAGGTCCCCAGCCATTGCGACTAATTTTCAAAGAAAAAAAAGCAAAACATTACCATCCACAAATCTACTCTTTCAAAAAAAACCTCCCAAAAATCGGTAAATCAATTCCGCTTTTTCCACTCAGTCAGTTCATTAATAATAACTGTTACTTTTATTTTACAAATTAATAGGATAAATAAAAAGCATATCGGGATTATCTGATGTTTTACGTTTTCCTAGCACATGAAAGCAGCTCGATTTTTTTCTTCCAAAAACTCACCGAAATGACAGACGATCCTCACAGGTTCGGGACATTTTCTTCATTCATTATCTTCACGGAATCACCAAAGAACTGAACAAAATGAAACAACCAATATTCATCTGCTCTCTGCATACCAATCATTTTTCACATTCTATGTTGTAATTGAAATAAGAATCAGGAAGCTGGCAATCTTCTCATTGAGTGGGAAGAATTCACTCAAGTTCTAATTCCAAATATCAGGTAACTCTAAATTTCCAATCCTAAAAAAATTATTTCAACGAAATGAATAGTCCAGCGTTGAAAATACTAAAAGCAAAAATAAACGACTATGAAAATAGCACATATATCCAACGCATATAATGCAATGGTTACGTAGAGAAGAGAAAGAAAACCTATATGAAAAATTGTAAGAAATAAATGGGTCAGGATAAGTCACTCTCCATGTATGAAAAATTGAATAATCTCAGGCGCGACACCTGGTATTCATCGCTTCTTTCACTAATAAATCGAAAATTATACGAATTTGTTAGCCAGTTTTAGGCTACCATAACTGCTACAGGCTGCAGCAGTTATAATACCAAAAAGAATGCAGTATTTTTTGGCTGAACAACTTAGTAAAACAGAAAAACAAACCAAAATAGAGATGAAACGAACGTAAAATTGCCCAACTCTTTTTTTTTTTCAAAAATACGAGAAAAACCGATCCGCCACAGAAACCCCAGGAATCTGCAACACACGACAGTTCCCTTCCTTATAATGAGACACCGCTCGGTTTTACACTTCATATAGTATTGAAAACTAGCAATAAATACGAGAAAAATTAATCTATATTATGACATGATAAAAAGTGCTGAAGCTTGCTGAAATATTACAAAGGCCTGATTTGAATAACAATTTATTTCATCGAATATAATGTGGAGAATTATGCACATACTAAAAAAAACAGAGCAAATTCAAAAAAAAAAAGCTTTCTGATTTTTTTGAATAGTATGAAATTGGATCGATATGTACAGACATTCCACAGAAAACAAAATACCAAAAACCCTAAGATTTAAGCAATAAAATACGAAAAAGAAATGAAACAACCATCAACCTCCATCCCTCTACTCCTTCCTGTGAAAGCATTCAAGATTTTCCAGACTTTAAACCAGAATCACTATCCTTTGACTCATAATTTGAGTCAGAATCACTACCCGACGATGATGAGGAGGATGTCGATATATCAGTATCTGAGTCATTCTCACGCACTTTTCTCTCTCTTTCTGTCGCTTCATCTTTGATATCACTATCCCCTATGTCTTTATCCGAATCTTTTTCCACTGACAACGCTGCTTGTGTAAGTTTTTCCTTCCATCTTCGGGCAGCTTCGAATAGTTTCATGCTTCCTTTTGAAGCTAAAATGAAAACTGTGATATTACTGACATAATATCCTTACTGATGTCTTCTTTAGTAATAATATGGCGTATTATCCTATAGTTTATGATATCATTGCCATATTATCAGTAAAGAACACATACACCATAAGCATAGATATACGGATGAAAGGAAATGAAATGTTCGAACATTTGGAAAAATATTTGCAGTCAGGATTGCATCTTACTTTGTTCATCTGGGAATACGTAATCGAAATATTCCTCCCAACCAGCATCCACACCATCCTCGGTCTGAATTTGACGACGTTTTTTCACTTTTCTTGGCATTTGACGAGAAACCTAGAAAATTACTCTTATGATTAATAAATTTTGACCGAGAGTGCCTATCAGGAAGTCACGAAATAGAGAGAAATGGAAGATTTAGAAGTTACACAGCGAAGAGAATTCGGCCAAACGAGTTTTGTTTGGAGAAATAATCACTAAAAGAACGTGTTTGATAAACAATAAGGCTTTTTCCCTCACTTCTCTTCCCATTAAAATAAATGTTATGACAACTGCTCAAATTCTATTGTGATTTCGATATAGATAAAGTAAGATGATAAATTCAGTTATAAGTCAGCAACAATTAGACATGTATGACGATTCAAAAGAACCAATAAACAATAGCCATAAAAAGGTTGACGAGGTTCACAATAGAGGAAATAAAGGATTTCACTTTTTAAAATGACTGATTCTAAAAACTATAAGATATAAATCAAGCAAGTCTGTTGAAAAAGAGGTACGGAATACGAATAGAAGTACGAAAGATCTTCGAAATACGAATAATATAGTTAGAAAGAAATTTAACCAAATAGCTTAGATTGTGCCGCAAATATATATTATAATATTCTCGAAATCAATAATACTACTTACTGTTGTTACAGAATAATCTATTCTCAAAATATTATTATGAATATTTATTCTCGAAATCAATAATACTGCTTACTGTTGTTACAGAATCCTCGTCACCGTATTTAGTTTCAAATAACATCCATGACTCGAGAAGTAACAACCTTTCTTCTTTTTCACTACTTGCTAGATTCCTGTTGGCGCGTTCATAAGTCTTACGCGCGCCTTCCACACCACTTACTAATAATTCAAATTCCGCTAAACTTATCCAAACCTGAAAGAATTATGAAAAGAAGAATTCTCATCACCATTATTTTGGAATTTTTATTTTTTTTTGAAGAACCGAGGTTGAATCTGATTTATTAATATTTTTATTGACTGCCCTTCCTCGTAAGAAATTTACTTTTTCAAAAATATGGGTAGTGTTTGTCTATTCCGAAGTGACAATCCTTTCCTATTTATTCTTTTAATTTTCAAACCCAAAGCCAAAACGAGGGATAAAGTAAGAGGAAGAAAGAACTAAAGTTAAGGTTATCATGCCAAAAGAAAGCAGCCAGAAATTTCAAGAAATACGACTGGCAAAAATAACTTTTATGTGGTTCGTCCGTTCCAAAAGACTACTATATAACTGTCGAGCTCGACCATATTCTTCTTGACTCACTTCGAAATCAATATAGGCTTTCCATAAAACCTACAACAAACTAATTGAGGTTTTAAAATATTCTAGTCACTTATTCAACAAAATTACTCCACTTCTACTTTCCAAAGATGAAGAATGTAATTTATGGACAAACTTCAGGCATGTCCAGTGCAGGTTGTTGTACAGCTAACGCGAAAATTGCACGTGCACGGTCAACATCGCCGAGAAGCGTTTCCATTTCAGCGAATTTAATCCAAGTATTACTATTTTCCGGAGCGTATTCCAGAAATTTCCCATATAAAACTCGACATCGATCAAACTCACGTAGTTGCAATTCAAGATCTATGTAATTTCGAAAAAGTTTATTTCGAGGACACATTCCAATTGCATTTCCCTGCAACTGCCCAATTATAAAAATACAATTCCTGGAGCAAAGTAGTGTTTGGTGTATTTTTGCATATTATTTATCAATATTTTAATAATATTTCGCATATTCTATTCAAAATTTCATCCGAATCGATTTCACTTACTTGTTTCTCATAGAAATTTACTCTATAAAATTACTCTGTAGGAATTTTTTCTCTATAGAGCTTACTCTACAAAATTTAGTTTATAAATTCTATTTCAAATGAAGGATAGCTAAAAATCATTTTGAAACACACCATTATTTTACGTGCATCAGATAAGCGAAGTTGTCGCACCTCGAAATAGGCAAACATCACCCATATTTTTGAAAAAGTGAATTTCTTATGAGGAATGATTTGTAAGCAAACTTTGTAAACATCTCGTGTTTTCTCTATGTCACCAATATCCAATTCCTGATAAAGAGCGTAATTGATCCATAAATAAATGTATCGTCGCCAATACCTGCTCAACAAAAAGCAATGATTTTAATGAAATAGTTGACTTCACTATTTAAATTACTCCCAAAATGGCCGTTTCTTCAGGTATTATGAATTTCATGTCTTATCCATGGACAACCGTTTTGTTGAGAGGGAGAAGCTTGCGTGCCCTCACGAGATTATGAGCTCACCTGGTGATGATTTATAAGTCTCATGTGTCAGAAAGATCTCAAGTGAAGGGTCAGGTGCGGTGTGTTCACGGTCAGGATGAGCTCGTTAGCCTCGGGGCAACCATTCTAGAAGAAGGACAACCCTAACTATAAACTTGAACAGATAAAGCTCGTTTAGCCCCATAAAGCGATCCACCTAAGAGAAGGAAATTTTAAGAAAACAACGTCCTTCACCACCACCGCCCTAACTTGTTAGGCCTTGGCAAATGAACCCTGGGAGTAAAGAGTGGGGCCAGTTTTGCGCACGTTGTGCCTCACCCAAAAAATTCACTGCCAGGCTGGAAAGATATACCCATATTTCTAGCGTTTGCAGCAAGTGTGAGTAGGGTCCTTCCAAATCTTTGTTCGCGAAGCCTAGCCACGATGATGATAAATTTCACTTTTATCAAACATTTCACCTGAACGGACTCCATCATAACGACTGTTTTTTTTTACCCAGCCGTTAACAATAATGGGTATGCAGACACCCACAAAATACATAAACTTTCTAATCTTTTAGTAGAACTGAAGTATAAAATGTAACTTAACATTTTAACTATACTCCACAATACAAATGGATTCGTATCTACACCATGATTTAACTGAAATGACTAATTAAAAAAATACCTCTTTTCAGGTTGCAGAGGTATATTAGCTATCGCTCTCTCAAATGTATCTTCCATCTCTTCACGATGAATTTTCTCATTTTGTAATAAACGAATGTAATCAAACCAAGCATCATAATTGTACGAGTTTTCAGCAATTTGCTGAAATAAATTTAGTTAAATTTCGAATTTATCTGTTACTATTCAGAAGCTCATTTTATAAAAACACAAAATTCCACCAAGCACCACCATTTGTGCAGAAATTCACGATCATTTACCTCTTCGTATTGATGGCGACGCTTACTAACAATTACATTTTCGATCCCCATCCTCTCCCCATACTTTTTCTCGTGTATGGTATAAAATTTGAATATTTCACCAGTTCGATCAGCCGGAAGATGGTCCAATCCATACCTGCAAAATCATACAAACGCTATAAAGTTAACTTCCATTCTGATTGGCATAAAAACCAATCACTTGTAAAATAGTCGAAATTTAACTACGACCTATAACTCGACATCAAAGGCAACAGATGCACCACCCTGCATACAGTAAACAAAATTCTGCAAATCTTCGAGGAATTATGGTCAAGATACCTATAGATAACCCTTGATCTTTCATGCTCCTTCTGTCGTTCTTCGAACTGAGCGAATGCAATCAGTAACGTTTCACTCAAATTTTCCTCCCCAAAATATTCCAATGCTCGCTCATAAACCTGTGATCAACAATTAAGAAATGCAGAAATTGCAAAACTAACAATTAAAAAAAATGCAGAAATTAACAATCACTGCATGATTTTGAAAACACTGATTACGATTTTATAACAAAGTTGTAAGAAATTAAACTGTTGTTCTGAAATACCAGTTCAGTTTTTCAAACAATTATTTTACACATCGACTTTTTCAAGCATATGCAAGTTAAACAATTACAGTTAAAACACCAAAATGTTATTTTTCATCACCCCCCCCCCCCGTCATTATTTTTTCTCTATCATCAGGAAAAATATTTTAAAAAACAACAGAATGAGAACTTGTGGTCATCCAAAACACCTACAGTACGGGCATTTCCAACATAGCCGAATCTTTCTTCAAACTTTGCATAACGCAACCACTGTTTTACATCATGTCCGTGAACGTGAAGAAAACGCTGCCAAATAGTACGTGCACGGTCGATTTCTTTGTAACGTAACTCGAAATTGACATATGTTTGCCAAGCTTGTTCTGGTGGTTCCCATTCCATCCAGCGTTCAAAAACCTAAGCTAAGTTACACAAAGTACGGAACCATGGAATCTACGTCAATGATTGCGGATGTGAAGTTAGTTTATCCCTGCTCTTTCCCATAAATCCCTCAATAAATACATGTACAAATCCTGCATAAATGAAGTGAGGTGTTCGGTTAAAATAGCAAAAAGCTTTACTTGTCTTGCTCCAGGTATATTCCCGATCAATTCTTCCATGTATGAGTATTTTAGCCAGAATTGCGTAGCTCGAGGCAAAATGGTAATTGCTCTATCCCAAATATTTCGTGCATGATTAATCTGTTTGTTTCTAAAAATTTGTGAAGACAGATTAATCCATAGCCGTTTCAATATAAAGAAATATGACACATAAGAGACTTCTCGTATCAAGCTCAACTAAAATGCTACCCTAAGAAAAATGAAGAATTTGCCTCATTTCCATTTCCGCATACTGGAGCCAAAGCGTTATAGAACGATGATCAGTATCAAGTGCACGCTCAAACACTGAACGAGCTCTTTGCATTTCACCTATATTTTCCTCCCATTTTGCATATTTCACCCAGTTTGCTATCTGCGAACGGTTTTTACGAATGTTATCTTCGAATTCCTTCCTGAAACCATGGAAATGCACCAAAAATTATTTGACTTTTCAATATATTCCATATTTGGTAATTCAATAGCAACAAAATTCCAAAAAGTTTTAACTCCAAAGGCCTAAATTGAATTTGACATCTTTATTTCTTCCTAACGATTGGATTTAGAAATAACATTTATTAAAGGATGAGAAGTGCAGTGTGATAATAACTTTTTCGACGCATACCTTCGTTTCCGCTGATATTCGGCTAGCTCTTCTGGATCGGATATTTTAGTTTTTGGCGGTGGTGCAACAATTTCTAGGTCACGTTCCTTTGCTTCACGTAACAACTGCTCCGCTGTTATTTGTAGAGCTGCCGGAGCCTGAAAGTATCAATAGAAATGCACTGAAAATCTAAGTCTAAAAAACAAAAAAAAGGACACAGTATAACCCCTTCCCTCAAAACCCGAAGCAAAAAATCTGTCGGCAAATACTACACATAAATAAAAGTTCGTGAAAGCACAAATTTAGCACTGAATGCAAAGATTATAAAATTTTAACATGGCTACTACATCTAACCCAGACTAAGAATTGAAAGCGAAACTGAGTTATCCGTTGATGATTTTGCTTTCAGAAATGACATACTTTGTTCTTTACTTTAGCTGCTTTCTTTGGCAACCGCAATGGCTTATTACCCGGCACCTCTTCGAAATCATCCATCGTTTCTTCCTAAGAAAAAGTATAAAGACATAAAGATGTTGTTCTTATTGAGAGACCTAAGGCCACAAGTTCGCCACCAAATCTAGCCAATCATCTCTTTCCTGAAGTAACCCTTTAGTTGTAATCTCATCCCACTCCAAATATTTCCGAATCTCCTCCCACAACCATGAAGTAGAACACCACTTACACCAAACTCTGAATCACACTTTCTGGGTCGTTACGAAAACGATGGTTCCACATCAGAACACGGAGTCATTCGGAGACAGTCTGCAGATGAGAACTAATTTCTCAACTCCCCATACTTTCAAACGTCATCAGTACTAAGAAAAAGTGATACGAAAATGCAGCTAAGGGCTCAATTGCACCAGCCAAATTGCATCGAACCATCTACTTTGCCATAGAACTTGCTTCTTCTGACGTTACAAACCATTCCGGAAAACATGTCCGCTCATCAACTTGTCCCAGTACGATCCAATTTTTTCTTATTTATTCAGCGCTGACCAAATACAACGATATTGAAGAATAATGGAATTAGAATATGAATTTCTTTTCAATAAAATGAAGGTTCTAGTGTGTCAGCAAAATAAGTCGTATAGAGAGGCACAGAAGAAATTTGTAGAATTCTAATTTAAATTCGCGTAAGCTCTTATTATCAAAAAGAATAACAGCAAAGGACAACATTTAATGGAACATCACTAAAACATCGCATTTTGTATTTCAGATAGAAAGAAGCAATAATACATTTGGTTCCGAAAACCTTAAGAAAAATGAATGGCAGAATAATAATGCTCTTTAAAAATTATAAGAGATCCCTTAAATCTCAATAAAAACGATGGTTGAAGTAATAAAATGAGGGAATGAGAAAAGAAATAAAGGAGACGTCACCGCATTATTGACAATAAAAGGCAGAATCATAACATCAATATCGGTACGAAAAATTTTTAGAGAAATCTGACGTCCAAGGCAAAGAAAAACACCGATTTCTTCCCTATGCATTGGCTCGTGTCAATTCGAGTTCTGTATCCATATAACAAAGGCGCCGTGTGACACGATTCCAATCAACTTTTCCACCATCCAAGGTTGGTAAACGCTCTTTACCGCCAACACGTCGCCTAGCATAAGTATTAATCCATATAAACACTCCAACTTTAATCACCCAAATTGGGAAAGTAAACAAATCACTAGTCCGCTTAATTATATATACATAAGCAAAAGTTATGGGACATTACTGAATACAAACTCAGAGATGGCCAGAAACTCTTTTGTCACGTAAAAAAGGCATTAAGACAGAAACTCGAAACATAAAAAGTAACTTACAGCATAGCCCTGAAGTTATTCCGCCCTCTTTTAGCCCATTCATCTGCCTGATAAATTGGTTCTGGAATTGAAATTGCTTGATTAACAATTTGATGGGTAAAGCACAGAGCCATCATCAATGATTGTGCTTCATCCATGGTTAAATTTGCCTCATTGATGGGCATTGAATATGCCGGCAACTTCCCGGTACCCTGGAATTCCAAAATTTATTAAACCCTTGTAAGACAAGAGAATCAACTTTACCATCTTATCTCTACCATGTTATCATGATATACATCAGTTTCATACAAGAGCGAATGACCACACTACTAGTGTATCCCGAATAATCTAATTTATTCTTAAAATTTCCTATTGGATGGAAGACCTTTATGATTTTATGTGACTGCATGAAAAATTCCGTGGTATCCGGACGTGTAATATCCCTATCAATCACTGTCAACGGCAAACAGTTCTCTAGGGAGCGACCTGAAATTAGGATGTACTGGAAAAACTGAAATAATAATCTGCCGATAGAATTTCCCATAATTTTCTGTTCAAAATTTTTTAAAACTTCAAAATTTAGTAAAATTAACCATTCTCAACAGCAAAACGCTTGTTGTGCCTTTTGCAAGCAATGATGCATACTATATTTGGTGAGTAATTATCGGTCCCAGCTTCCGCTTTTCCAAAATTACGCATTCCCTGACGAATGGCTTCAATTTCGTCTTCCATTACCTTAAAATTTCGTTTTCACTTTTCTAGAATATTCGAGACGCATAAACTACCAAAGCCTATGACTTCATACATACTGTTTTAATAAACAAACCTGTTTTAATAGTAACTAAGGTAGTAAAATGAACAAGATTTTTCAAAGCTCACCATTTTGAACTGCCCCTCGGAAACGCCATCACGTGTGATAATCACAGTTTCGGGAAGCATACCATTACGACTGCCATAAAAGAGGCTCAAAATCCAGTAAATCCGTTCCTCCAGAATGGAGCTTGTTACTTGCTCTTTACGAGGTTCTTGGAATGAATAATCACCAATGAATGTTTCTGGACAGGGTGCTCCATTGAAACTAATCTGAAAATCATGAATATTTTATCCATTTCATGAAATTCCAATTCAGCACTCTTCTTGTTCCTTTCCCTTCCTTTCGGTTTTTATGCTACATTGTTAACAGTTATCATAAAACGAACTCCAAGAACACTTGGCTGAGTAGGTGGTAACCGCATTCGTCTTTCATGTTTTGGCTGGGGTTCCGGATGACATACATCATAACCGATTATAAGTGTTTTTCCAGTTGAAATCCATTTATTGGTTCTAAAAAACGCTGTAAATAACACATCAAACCAGACATGTCTACATTTGCTAAAATATGTGTGGTATTCAACGTGAATTTAACACAATACTCAAATCAAAAACTGATTTGGAAGGTATAGATTTTTGAGTGAGGTACAACATACGCAAATGATTCTGGTACGATACCATAACATTGCCCGAAATTCTTGCAGTTCAACTTGTTAACGATATTTTCCAACGTCGCAATTTTTTTCGGTGCTTCACGAGCTCTCGATCCATGTATATGCTGCGTGACTATACGGTGAAGAGCTTCATACAATTTTAAATCATCTGAAAGAATTAATTTAGCAATACAGCGACATTTAAGTTCACGAAAGAAAATTTCTACTTTTATGCAATTTTCAAGTTCTTTTGTTTCTTCTGGAAACACTTTTATAAAATGCATTAAATAATCGAATGGAAACCATGAGTATCATCACGGGAGTCGATATAAATCACAAATGCTCGTTCCTCTGGATAAGTTTCCCGAATTTGCTTGAAACAATTTTCCAGTTGTTCAAACTGCACATTTTTAATGACAGGATCCACCATCTGTATGCCTTTTTTGTAACATTCACGAACCAAAGTTTTTGCAAATGTCCTAAAATTCTATTGGTGAACTAACAGCAGATGACCTTCAATGTAGATAATACCTGTACTACAAATCTCGTTTAAGAAAATGACAGAATTAGTTGTCATATATAAGAACTCACAAAATCATATCTCCATCTCTCGCTTCATCATAAAATATAAACCAACAGCGAAGATGTGCCCTAACTAAGTACTCTTTCCCATTCATTCGCCAGTTTGCCTACAACAAAAATATATATATGGTCAACATCTGCTCAAATTCGTCTGGCTTAAAAATCTCGAAGTTACAGTCCTCTTACATTTTTGGCATCGACATCGACAACACTTGGCCGACCTTGTGCATCGGAATATCGCACTTTCGGTGCAAGACGACGATGGCCTTCAACCTGAAATTTTAATTGAACCGCTGAAAAAATGATTTAAAATTGAAAAAAAAAACGAAATAACTGGAAAACCAGGAGAAAGCACAAAACTAACAGTAATCGGAGTTGAAATAATTCGTACTCCAAAGGCAGCCATAAGTGGATTATAATGTGTCTTCTCATCTAAATCAAGTGCCTGCAAATTTCGGGCGATGTCGCGAAAACGTGCATGCGGAAGCATGGCACATTCCTGTAAGAGATTCATTTCTCAGTAAAACAGGCTAAACAATGCTTAAATGCCAGCATAACAGAATGAATATACATCGGTTCCACCAATGAAGTGCAGTGATTGTGGATATTAAACAAAATATCACAATCCATAACAGGCTATTCCAAAAATTAGAAATTTATATATCACCTATATCTTCCATCACATAAATAAATTATACTTTGATCGTATCTTTCATTTGTGATGGTGTCTGCTTACTCAGTGGTACTCTTTGATGAGGCGCAACTCGTAATACTTCAATCGGGAAATATGATGTGCCTAAATTCGTAATCAAGCGGACGGCTGGCCAATCTGCTCTTAAAAAAATTTTATTTTTATCAAATTGATTTATACTAAATCGAAGATTTTGAAAAATATGCAGAAATCAATTTTATGGTTGTCTCTTCGAATCTTTTCCCTACTAATAAGCAAGTTTTAAATCGCTTGCTCATAGCTTAAGAAGATTTAATTAAGTGAGTGTCTGTAAACCAATTTAAGTGTCTGTAAACCAATTTTAAACTTACCGGATACGATAACCTTGCTGTTTGTAGTATTGTAACATTGGAATTGGTGGTGTATTTTTGCCGACAGAAAGTCTGAAAACAACGCCAATAGTTTTATAGTATGTCTACTTTAAACGGCAAAAATTACGCAAAAACAGAAAAACGAATATGAAGTGTAAAATAAGAAAAACAACGAGCATGCCTAATCTGTCCGATAGGTTTGTCTGACAAACCAGATGCCAAAAATGATTTGTTGATGCAGTTCGAATGTTCCAATCGAAGATCTGAAAAAAATCTAACCAAACAATCGGGCTTTAAAAACTCCCACAATTTTTGCATCTGTATTCAAAAGGAACCTTGCAGAAAATTGATAGCAACTTAGGATTTCGTTATCAAATGAACACCTATATTTCTCCGGAATTATACCTCGAATAATATCGTTTAATCTGCGTACAAAATGATTGAAAAGATTTGCATCCAAAGGAGGAATAGGGGAACACGAATCATTTTTCATCAGTACTTTCTGCACCATATCCGCCAATGGAACTGCGTCAAAGAATGCTGCTTTTTTTACTAAAAAAAACTCCATTTTATAGTTCAAAAAATTATGTATATCCAAACATATTCAAATTTTATAAGCAACTTGAAAGAAATAAAAGAGTCATACAGTCAATGACAAGTGCTGGGATGATACTGCCGTTCGATCGTTCAATAATGCGAATTCCCTTATCGACACCGGTGATCAAAGTTCTACTCTCACTCAAAGACTGCTCCTCAAGTTTATACTTCTTACCATCCACCAAAAACAGTTTACCGCAACCAAATGCATAGTGCGTTCCCCTTCAATTTTTGCAAAATAATTTCAATTAAATTCAGATATATATAGATTCTGCTAAAATTCTTCCACAGCATGTAACTCTGATACGACAAACAAATGACAAAGTAATAATACAATATTCAATCTCCACTTCAAACAAGTTACATGAATAATCCAGATTCTGGAAAGTGCACAGGCTAGCCATTGTGTAAATAAGTGTTGAAATTGTAACGAAATCTTATCCTTTGCAGGATGTGACATAATCATTTTGTACTCTTTGTCTGGATAACTTCTAGTGGTGGCATAAAAATTTTATCAAAAGCTATGAAGAATCTGATTGTCACATTGGAAAAAAAAAAATGAATTACAATAGCTTGACCTAATATCAAAATACGTACTTCTGCAAAGCACTATTATTTGTGAGAATTTCAAAAAACTGTCTGAATGAGCGATCCTGACGAGCCAGATCATTCGTGACTGAATCACGATAATCGATTACATTAAAAGTATGAGCACTTTCTGCACACGGCGTTATCTCAATAAACACGTCGCATGCACCAATTAGATCACGCAATTTGGGCGTTAACTGCTCCATCGATATTTTTAAGCGAGGGAGCTGAAACAAGTTTTCAATCGGAATATCCGAATGCTTCAGCCAGGTGGCTTAGAATATAAGTTTATAAATACAAGTACGTAAATATGATATATAAATATAATATAAGCCCAATATAAATGACAAATATACATGCTTCGAACTAATCAGTGACGAAATCTTAAATTAAATTGTTTTTATGAAGCAAAATTTCACCAGTTCTTTATTAAGTGGCTCATTGGTAAATAAAGTGCTTGACAAATCATACAAGTAAGCACCACTCTCATTCAAAACGCGGTATAATTCCAAAGCGCGTCTCATTAATAGCATACATTTCTGATGACGTAAAGTCACTCCAGAGCTGCAATAATTTCAGTACCACTGAAATTGAGTGAATAAAAAAAAGTACTTGGGAAATTCAACTTTGATTCCATGTCAGTTTACCTAACACAATGCCTAATAAGCTTTAAATTTCAGGAAATAAAAATTAGTACTGTATTTCAAAACTGGAACCAAACAAATTCTCCTCACTGTCTAAAACATATTTTGAAGTGTAATCTCTAGGAAAGGACATTCAAAACATACTCATCTCTGTCGCCTCTACACAAGTCTGTGGTTCGTTCCTTTGATGTATCCGCACGGCTAGTATACATCCGCACATCATAACGGTACACAATTCGGCTTCCAACTTCCAGTGGATAGATGTTCGTTTTTACAATAACCGTTTCCCGTTGACAAGCTGGTGGTAACTTTGGTGCCATAAGACATGACGGGGGTCTGTGATTGCGGAATATATTTTGATCGTTAGATGGATTTCTAGGTAATAGGATTTCTAGGAACAAGAGTTCAAATATCCTAATAAAGTTCCTTCTTTTTCATTTTTATCTAAGCAACGCTAGTCAGGACAATTATTTGATTAATATGAAAAGAATGGTCAGCTCGCCACAGGCTCCTGACAGTTATTATACATGAGGCATTTACGCATTATATAAAACAAGATAATCACGACCATAAAAAAAAATAGAAAAAATCTCGATTAAAAAAATTACCCTGCCGACTGAATAGAATTACCCTGCCGACGATTAAAAGAATTACTCCTATGTTCCACTGATTGATGAATACTCTGGTTTTCAACCTCTAGCAAATCAGAGTCCGTTAAATCACTAAACGATGTTTGCGAATGGCAATCATCCGATATTGCTGAATTGCGTACCGAATCATAACATCTTACCGCACCCTCCGGAGTCTAAACACAAACCCTCTGATGACTAGTCATTTTCCGACGTCTTTCAAATTCAGATTTTGCTATTATTTTTTCAACAAATATCCAAAATTTAATTTATATACACTTGACTTCCTATTTCAACCAATCTTATTTGTCTTTAATTTCCTCAGTTGAACATAAGTTGTACCGAAAAAGAATCATCGGAAACAGAAGGAGGTGTAGATTCGCGAATGCACAATTGCAGCGCTGACACATTCTTTCGAGACGATGTTGGTTGTAATGAACGTGTGTCAGCCGAAACTACTACTGTGTCTATCCGCTCAGAAACTGAAGATTGTTGCGAAAGCGCTTCCGAACTAGTACGAGTCCAAATTTCCCTCCCCACCATCTCCATTTCTTCACCTGTTTCAAATTCATGCATTTAAAGAGAATATATTCAAATGACTTGATTATGTTTACCGCAGACTTGAAAAGTGAATACTAAGTGAAGAGTGACCAGCTCAATAAAACATTATTCACAATGTACGATTTCAGATAGAACAAATCCCGAGCAATCACGGTGATGAAAGAAGGCTGGCAATGTTAGAGAAACAGGAAGACCCATCTTCAGAGCACTTTTATTAATATTTTGTTCAAAGAAAATCAGTAATTTTATGAATATATTCAATGAAAAAAGAATCAACCTCCAACTGTTGCCATTTTTAACATGCGGAAAGATTCGTTTGAATTTGGCTGTCTTTTACCACGTCCGCGTGGACGAAATGTGGGAATACTGTTCCCCTCGCTTGGCGTTATTGGCGACATTAACATTGAACTCTTCTGCAACCAAACAGCCTCGTCACACTCATACAATTTAATTTAATATATTCACGAGAAGAAACTTCAACGTCAACATCTGCATCAGCATATTTAAAGATCTACTGATGAATCAACCCAATGAAGGATGATGCAACAAAGTCGCATGCAGATGTTTATTCATTAAAACTCTACAAACCACGAACCCATTGATCGACGACGACAGAGGATTACTATAAAGATATGAACACTGGTTTCGAAGGAGAAAAGGTATGGAAGAAACACTACTAAAGGGAGAATAACTTGAAACTGACCGATGATAGAATCTAATGGAGAGATTTAGTCGCAGTGTCCAGGAATATGACCCTGAAGCCTTACACAACTGAGGGAAATGAGGAAAGTAATCAGAAGTGGAGGATGAATATCAATCGAATCATGCCACCGTCTTGATTAAGTCCCTCAAATTACGGAGACTAAACGACTACTTAGTACACACACACACATATACACACACACACATAAAC